TGGGATTCAAAAGCCACAGAAGAGAGTTCGCTAGCGCATTTATAAGTACGTAAAGGCAAGTGACGCGTGCAGACGAGCGTTACCTTGTCAAATAAAAGATCTACATCAATATATTAATATATTTTGAAATGGTAAAGGCAAACTCCAATGCAAATAGCTTTTTCATTATCTTCACAGTTGACAAGACAAATAGTCCTTGCGGTAATTAACTGGACTGAAAGCAAGGCAAGAACAGCTGCAATATAATAGAAGCCTCTTGTATATGGTTTTCTTCTGGGAGTTCCGCAAATGTTTGACCAATAACTGATATCTTTGTGACAATAACTTAGTTCTTCCACTTATCCAATTCATACCGCATTTATCGTTTTGTTATTACTTTATTACTGTAACAACTTATTACTCGTTATTACTTATTACTTTATTACTTACTACTTTTATTACTTGAAGCTTTTATCACTTATTACTAAGTAATAAGTAATAACATTACTCCTTATTACTATTAGTAATAAGTAATAAATCTGAAAATGATAGAAGTAATAAGTAATAAAATAAAAGTTTCAACTTTATCCATTACTACTAGTACCAACCACTTAAAGTCCGAATAGTATCAAAATGATAAATAACAAAGCAATTAGTGATGAAAAGTAATAAGTAATAAAAGTAATAATAATTATTACTTATTACCGAGTAATAGTAATAAAAAGTAATAGTAATGTAGCAAGCAGCCCTACTTTAAAACGGATTGAAACATAGGTTATCAACCATACCGACTCTCGTGGTAATGTTTGTTTCTAGAGAATACTTCAGAAACCTACTAAAAACCGAAGTAAGAAAATATTTTTAATAATGCAATCACGTTGAGAGAATAAAATAGAGTGAGTGTATCTTGATATATTTTGACTGAGTTATGAACTTTCTTAATTTCTAATCAAAAGAGCTTAAAATGGGTTATTTCACCGAATACGCATTTTTTAGTACGTTTCTGAAATATTCTCTAGAAACAAACATTATCACGAGAGTCGACATGGTCGATAACCTATGTTTCAATCCATTTTAAAGAGGACATTCTGGAATACCCACCCGTGGAAAAAATATTCATCGTCTTAGGCTACAGCTTGCTTTTTAAAGACCTGCTAGAAAATCTTCTTGGGAACATATTTTGAAAATTGCTCATGAAAAATGTCTCCAGGTTTCCTTTCGCGACTAACAAAACCACAAGTCTGCATCTATCTTCATTCAAATGTTATTTAAAAAATTTGCGTTGACCCCATGTTCTGAAAAGGATAGTTGATATATAAATTTTTTACCTATACGGATATCCTTGATATTTTGATCGAAATATAGATAATATAAAACTGAAAAAGAACACAACCAATACAATGCCAAAGACAGCCACTATTGCTAGAAAAATAAACCGACATGTTGTTTTCAATTTAGAATTATTGTACATTTACTAAACCTTTTCGTTTTCCATTTGGTCCAGTTATTTTTGGTGCTTCATTCAACAATATCATACCTGCACAAACGCCGAAATGTAAATATATTGTTAAGAAGAATATCTATTGACTTTTTGGATCTGCAAACGAAATAGGTTTTGAAAATATGCAGCATAGCCTACCACAACTATTTTGTACAAAAAATGAAACATTCAAACTGATGAAAGGATATAGAGTAGAAAAACCTAAAAAAAATCAAAAATTTTCCATCATGTCTGTGAAAAGAAAAGATAAAATATTTTTACTCATTTAAATAATTACCACATATGTTTCTGCGATGAATTGATAGCCAGAACTACCACTAAATAAGCCCTATAAAAAAATAATAAACGAAAGATTCGAAATATGATCATAGTAGAAATGTGAAGAAAATAGTTTGATTTCAATTGAGTGTATGAAAAAATGAAGAATTAAATGCTGTTGCTCTTTTTTAGTTATTCATGTCTACGAATTAGATAAAAGGTTCATGGTTCAAATCTATACTAATTATGCAAGCCATTGTCTGCGAAAATCTGGAAAGAAGTTCTACATTATAGAGTACAAAAAAGATGAACCAGATATCTTTTTGGTGGATCGACACAATTACTGAGCATTTTTTATTCGTATTTTACGGAAGAATCGAATCTCAGTCAGATGATTCTGAGATAAAGACATAAATAGATTGCAAAAACAGGCATATCAGCTGCAGACAGAGTTGATTCAAAATCAAAGTGAAATATGGTCATAATTGGTCCGCCATCTGTTTCATTGCGAATGCAAATGGAAGCTTTTTACAAATACGTGTATAATTCATGAATTTTCCCCTTAATCTTTCAACACAAAAAGAGATTCTGATTCTGATTATCAAATTACGTATAATTACCATGTGGTAATATGTGTTTTTGAATGAGAAAAACTAGTTGCTCTTTTCTTTCAATAGTAACAAAAACAATGACTATTTTTTACGGTGTAAGTTTTCGCAATAAACTAATAGCATGGAGTGCCATGAATCAGCTTCTAAAATTAAAAAAGTGGAAATTTTGAACATGTGTTAAAATTGAACTATTTTTATTTTTACTACCGAAACGATAACATAGCAACTGATTTTTCTATATGACTACTAAATATTTATTTCTTCCAAAACAAACAGCGGACAAGATATCATGTTGTGATATAAAATAACTAATTGCTTCCTAAAAAAATATGTAAACGTGTTAGAATTATCCCACTTTTACTTACAATTTGTCCAGTTTGAGGATTACGATGAAGAAATGGACTACCCCTGATGCTATTCCATATTTGACCAGAAATGCATACCAGAATGGCCAACTAAATAAATAATAAGATATTATGAAAATGATTTTAAAAAAAAATGTAATCAACTAAAGAGAATTACGAGAATGTATTGTACAAAAGATCAACACCTGTGTATCAAGGACATGAATTAGAATCGTTTTTTAACGATTATATTGAATAAGATAATTGCTTATTTTATAAAATGTCAGATTGTCTAATCAAATCAAAATAATGTTCTTAAACTTTCTTGAAGATAAAACTAGCCGACTTATAAAAAAAACAATGAATCCACCATCTCAGAAAGATGGACTGAAAAAACTAGATGATTAGTTAGTAGCATAAACTGAGTTAAACAAATTACTTACAATAACAAAGAAGCCCCAAACAAGATTATTATATAAAAATTCGAGACTATTTCGTTTAATATAAAGTAAACCAGCTAACATTGTTACCAATAACACGACTAATAAGAAACTCGAATAATTTGGCGGACGAAACAAATGAATCTAAATATAAATAGTCTCTAGATAAAAAGTGCTACGTTCAATACAGTAAAATCAATCTGCATAGAAACTGAGCGATTTCTGTCATTATTCATATTTCTTAATAGTATTACATACATGTATATCAGTACGATCGTTGATCCATTTGACGAGTTGTTCCGCCGAAAATCCAAATCTGACGACCGATAAAGAATAAATTAAGAAATTTGTTCATGTATGAGAGATATGCGAAGCTTACCGACTTATATCCATATAATCGCCCTTTTTTGGTTTCACTTTAATTGGAAAATGGATAAACACTGGTGCAGAATTCAATTTTAACTAAAAAAAGCTCAGCGACAAGCTATAAAATTTATACAGACGAGATTATGTCTACGTACATATTGAAAAACTTCACTACCCTCATCAAAATCCACCATAGCAAAAAATATTTTGTTTGAAAATGCACTTGAATAACGCCACGATTGGGCTACTATCTGAAATTCATCGTGTGCTTGTCTAGAGAAAACGTTAAAAGAACACATTATATAATATAAAGGCTTGTCATATGTTTTAAAGCATAGCAATACACTTACTTGCATATTGCACATTGTCGTTGTGGCGATAGAGCCGTCAACATAATGATCATGGAATAATTACGTGGTGGAGTTTTTACATAATGTTTGAAACGTTCATTATTTAAACGAATAACAGGTTTTTTTAACGACCATTCTGTTAGTTGTTCGATTTTTTCTGACAGAATATCCTATAGAGGAAAAGAAGAAAATTGAAGAGCAGATGTTAGCGATTTGATAAATGCGGGACGCCGAGAAGTAAAAATGACTTGGAGTTAATGATGACCTCACAGGGCTGTCGTTATCCTTCGATTAAAAATCCTCGATTTTTCTCACGAGGGAACCTCTTGAGGTGATAAAACGCTTTTTATTCGGAATCTAGTGGGTTATAGGTTATCGATCATGCTGATTACGAATATGACCATGGGAGTGGCCCTTAGCCCTTCGAAGACCCGATTTTGTAGAAAACCAGTTTTTCAGACACTCTAAAATATGAATGGATATGAAAACGTCGAAAAATAAATATCGAAGGAAAAAACATCGAAAAAATAAATGCCGAAGCATTTTTGGTCGAAGAAAAATGTCGCTCACATAAAAAGTCGAAAATTTTAAGATGTAAGAAAATCTCACCCTCACCCTCACCCTCAAACACTCTTGTCTCTTCTGGTCAGCTGAGAAACAATGTAAAATGTAAGAAACTGTACATACATTTTCTTACATCTTAAAATTTTCGACGTTTTATGTGATCGACATTTTTTCGACCAAAAATACTTTGGCATTTATTTTTCGATATTTTTTTTTCGACAGGTTTTCCTTCGACATTTTTTCTTTCGACGTTTTCAATGCATACCTAAAATATAACCAGAACCTTTCTTAATTAGGCATGATTGTAGCCCGGAAATTCCTGATTAAAATGAGACATCTCCCAGCTCTACACGACCTTTCTTTGCAAAGTTATAGAATTTACAAGAAAAACCCTAAATTAATTTTTTCCTTCTTATTTCTGTAGCTTTGAGCTGGTAATGAACATCTAGGGCTTTTGTTGTAAATTCTATAACTTTGCAAAGAAAGGTCGTATAAAGCTGGGAGACGTCTCATTTTAATCAGAACTTTGCGGGCTACAACCATGCCTAATTAAGCAAGGTTCTAATTATACTTTAGAGGTTCTGAAAAACTGGTTTTCTAGAAAACCGAGCAAAAAGCGCTTTATCACCTCGAAGGGTTCCCTCGTCAACAGAAAAAGGTTTTTTCTTTCATTCTCTGAAGGAAAAAATTCTTGTGTCAACGGAGCACCCTCCCAAAGTCTGACTGATCGCGACAGTTCTTTGACTTCACATCGGTAAGTGTCCTCAATCTAAAGAAAGACTGAATAGAATATTATGAGCTCGCTCAACCTGAATTCTACACTTTATATATTGAAAAAAGTATTTCACACTGTGGTCATCACTATAAGTCATTTTTCTATCGGCACTAACTTCTCTGAAAAATAATAGAAACAACTTACTTCTTTCCCACTAACAACACAGATATATATCAACACGATGAACAATATAGATTTCATCTAAAACTCAGCGGAGGATATTTAGTTCAAATATAATTACTCCAGTTCATCTTCTATACAAAGAATGGTAAGCAACACACCCTTTTTTTATCTGTTTTATCAATAATCTTTAAGTTCGCCTACTTCGGCCAACTCTCGATAAAACATTGACTTAAGGTGACTATCTCGTTGTCTTAAGTCTTAATTCTATGATTAAGTTTATAATCATTGGAGTCAAGGCACACTTGCATGCATACAGCGGACATGTGTGAGTAAAAGTTCGCCTTTGATTTTATATTCGAAGGAATTTTTCCAAGCATTTTCGCACCAAGTTGTAGAAAGAAACGATGCGCACAAAATCTTCATCAGAACCGGTCAGGATGCGCTAAGACTAAGTGTTAGGCGTAAGCCACTAGTATTTAACGTGAGTTTACGTTAATTGAGCGATTGAGGCCTAAATATCAGCCCTAAAGCATCTTGAACGTAACGAAGGGTATACAGATAAAAGTATAAAAAAACAATAGGATGTGCTTATCGCTTATTAGTCGACGCTTTTCCATAAGTGTACACTAAGTGACTTTTTATTGCCTTTTTCTTTTTATTGGTTAAAACTTCTTTTTTTGCGTAGATGGCAGCAGAAACATGTATCCGTCGCCGTCAACAGACCAAGAATAAGTTGAACTGTCCTACAGGGAGACACAGAGTCAAGTGATATTTTTCACAAAAGGTGGGCATTTCTCAAAATCTTGACTTTGTACCATTTTCAACTTCTTTCTACCATTTTCAATCCTCTCTGCACTGTCCCGGAAAAGCATACTTTTAGAAAAAGCACACTTAAATTGCGCCAATGGCATGGAAAAAGTGTGCCAAAGTATGCTTTTATGTGCTGCTAGCATGCTTTTACCGTGCCACTGACACATTTCTAGTGTGCTTTCGGTACACTGCGGCAGCATTTTTGGACGCTTTTTGTATGCTACTTCGAAAAGTGTATCATCGGCACACTTCAAGTGCGTCATTAGCGCACTTAAAGTGTGCCGATGACGCACTTAAAGTATGCCGATGACGCACTTAAAGTGTGCCGATGACGCACTTGAAGTGTGCCGATGATACACTTTTCGAAGTAGCATACAAAAAGCGTCCAAAAATGCATGACGCACTTGAAGTGTGCCGATGATACACTTTTAGAAGTAGCATACAAAAAGCGTCCAAAAATGCTGCCGCAGTGTACCGAAAGCACACTAGAAATGTGTCAATGGCACGGTAAAAGCATGCTAGCAGCACATAAAAAGCATACTTTGGCACACTTTTTCCATGCCATTGACACAATTTAAGTGTGCTTTTTCTAAAAGTATGCTTTTCCGGGACAGTGTGGACATCAGATGCTTTTTGTAATTTCTAGAAGTTCCAGTAATACCAAAGTTATACAGATTAGACAAATCAAAAACTGATTCGAACGTTTATCAACCTCTAAGTCTTCTTTCTAAGCTTACTGAAGCTTTTGAAAAGTTTTTGAACGTCTATAATAGCTAAGACAAATCACATAGATGAATACTAACAATATAACCTCTTTTGAACAGAGTCACTTTTTAATCGCGTCAGATGTAGTGTAAATCAAATTTAAAATTTAATTCAGTCAATTGAAACATGCTTTAAGGTAATCAAACGGTTAGTAAGACTTTCGATTAATTTTGAAATAGCTTTCGAAATATTTGGTGGAATAAAATTAGAACAATGATAATGTTTTACTCATATTAGAAATATTTGAAAACACTTCAAAATAGAATTTCATTCCAAATTGTAGTCAATTCTGTGTTGGACAACTGCTCTTTTGGCACGCCTGAAAACAATATTCTTTTTCTCACAAGTATTTAGAGTATAGTACTACGATAAAGTATCTATATTTTGTAAATCGTGACTTTAAAAATCAGTTACTCGAAAAACCATGTTGATATTTTTCGGCAATAGTCCTTAGAAGAAAATTCTATTATAGCATTAGTTTTAGATCGAAAAGGCATAGACATTCGAGATAAGTTTTGACTTTGCACATTAATGTGCAAAGTCAAAACAACTAAATATAGTACAATTGTACTATATTTAGTTGTCATTCGAACTGGTTTGTTCTCTCAAAACTCAAACTTGATATTATGTATATGACATTTTGACACAAAATCATTACAATCGCTCTAGACAAAAAAATTTATAGATCAGATGGTGTGAATGGCACATTTGACACTTGTTTTCTGATCGAAAGTATTTCATCGAAAATTTTCGCCATTGGTCTTCTCAGGCATTTATTTTGAATTTTTTTTCATAAAAGGTGAAGATTCAACACGAATGAAGAAACAAATCGAATCATATATCAATTGAAATGATTTGTTTAAACAAGTGTTTTAAGGTAACATGTTAACGATGTGAAGAGAATATATTATATAAAATTAGTCTGTTAGAACGCATGGCTGTTAAGATTGATAAGTAAGGTGTTTATTTAACATTTAATGTTTGCTTTCATCATGGCAGATATACAAAAGCAGTATTTGGTAATTAAATATATTTGTATGATACGACATAAAGCCTCAAACACGGTATTATTCTTACGCAAACTTCCTTAACTATCATTATTTTGATTTCAAATTTCAAATGCATATTCAAATAAGAATACTTGAGTATTGATTGAATAACAATTAAAAATAATTAAATATATTACAAAATGAAGACAAACAGAAAACTAATCGCTCGAAAGGATGATTTCTTCATGAAAGAATACCACTGAAAACATGAAATTTGCATCAAGTGTTTGAAATAAACTGAATTTTATAGAAGACAGTATCTGACTGTTCACAGAATCAATCACAAATGATGGTTAATTCATAGATTTTATCCTATCGAATGATAAGAATACTTTTAGTCAACACCTTTTTCTATAGACATTAAATCACATTTGTAATCGTATTTTCATTCCTTAGTTTCATAACGTAAGAATACAATGATTCGATGTCTAGTTGGTGCTAAAACGAAACATTAACGAATTTTTGTTAGTCTCCAAACTTTGTAAAAAAGTGAAAAAAAAAATTGTTTTAAGTGCTACTAGCCATAGAAAGACCTTGGAACAATCGAATCTGTGAACTGATCCATATAATTTGTTTCACGCATAAACGCGAATAACAAATCAATCATCGCCAACTATCTCTTTATATACATGATCGCTATAGAACAGACTCGAGACGAGAACAGATACATTTCATTATTATTATAGTTAAAACTAATCGTTTTCTATAACAGAGAAGTGCATGGGTATGATTGTTTTGCACCTGTATCCGAGCCGA